ATTCTCTCTCTCTCTCTCCCCCATTTTACCCCCTTTTTCTCCCTCCCTCTTTCTTTCTCTCCCTTTCTTCTTTCCTTCCTTCCTTTTCTCCAATCCTTCTATCCTTTTTTCTTTCTTTCTTTCTTCTATTATTTTTTTCTTTTTCTTTTCTTTTAAGCCCAGCTATATATTTAAAGGTTTAGCTAAGTCTGACACACTGGAGAAAAGGGGAGGTAACAGACATGCAATAGTGTCTCTTAAATAACTTTGATTCCTTTGACATTCTTAAGTGTTTTGCAACTACTTAAGTGTGCTGACATTCACTTTTTGGCAACGGCATGTTGGAACAATTCTATTTTATATCTTTCTTTTGCTATGACCAGACTGAAATGATATCATTGTTTTTTTATTGTCGTGTCCTTATTGCCTGCCACATACCCTTTGTTTTTCCAAATGAACTACTGTGCTATCAAAAGAAAGAGGAAAATCAAGAGAGTAGGTGGCTTCTATAGGTAAGCATCCAGCTATGTATCAAAGGCAAATAAATGCTTGTCGAAAAACCAGGCACCTTGTCTCAAGCTAGAGTGGACACTACAAACTTGTCTAGGTATCATGAAACATTTTATTTCTTACTTTCTCACATCTCTTTTTCTCTGTTACCAACAATTTACTCAACCTGAACTGGCAGATCTCAAAAATAACTACTTTAATATTATAGAACTTCCAAGTACACCTCATTGGAAAACTCATTTCCCACTTGCATTAGTCAGGATAGGTAATGTTATGCTGTCATTAAAAAACAAACAAACAAAACACCTAAAAGTGATTGGCCTAAAACAATTATTTCTTTTTTGCTCATCTACATGACCTTCATGAATTCTGACAGGTATCATTTTTTACAGTCCAAAGCCAGTCATATGGCCACTCCTAATCTCAAGGATGTAGGTACTAATCCTACCACGTGCTAGAGAGGAGGACTGAAAGTATTAAGTGGACAGAACTCATGCTTACCACAACACTCCACCCCATACAAACTTTCTCTGCCTGACAACAGACATCTTTTGAGGGTTACTTTTATAATCATTGCAAGAGGCCACTAGGCAGTGCTGCCTCTGTGGAGAAGGGAGTTGCCAAAGAGGACCCTGCCATGGCAGCTCTTGGCAACTAACTACACCCTGACGTGCTCTGCAACTGGGGGCTAGATGGGCAGAGTCCATAAGTACTGGCTGTTTTGGCTTATCTGAATCAGAGACACTCTGGAAAGCTGGACCAGCTTACCATTTAAAGCAATGATATTTCCTTCTCAGAACTGCAAAGTCATATATGATGCTATGTTTTATGAGTCATTTTTGATGGATGTTCTGAGAAGAAATTATCACTGTCTCCATTTAATATATCTTCAAACTTAGACTAAGAGAAGAAGTAAAGTTAGATTTTCCTGAATATCCTCATCTGTCAAATGTAACTAATCATAGACACTTTGCAGGTTTATTGCAAAAGCAATAGATAATAACATATATAAAATTCCAAGCACATTATGAGTACTTAGCAAATATTTGTTCCCGTTTCAGTTCAGAGACGTAAGAGATCAGTAAGGAATGGATTGCCCAGGGACGTCTTTACAAAAAGAGTTTGGACTTCAACCAAAAGCATTTCACTTAGTACAAGACATTGATTTAACTTTAGATGGTGAACACACAATGCAGTATACAGATGATGTATTGTTGAATTGTATACTTGAAACTTATTTGATTTATTAACCATTGTCACCCCAACAATTTTGCTAAAGATTAAATTTAAAAAAATAAAATAAATCAGCTACAGCAACAACAAAAATAATATATACCCAGTTTTTTAAAGGGCATTATCTTTTTAAGGGCATTATTTATTCCAAAATAAAAAGTTAAAAAATAACATTACTTTGTGTGAATCTCTGCTCTAAACTCCTTAAAAATATTAACTCATCTAATCCACATGATAACCCTATGAGATAGATGCCATGATTATGATTTTATAGACAATAAAACTGGGGCACAGAGAGGTTAAGCTATTGGCCCAAGGTCACATAGGATGGAACTGGGATTTGAGCCTAGTCAATCTGACTCCAGAATTTATGCCCTTAGCCAATAGAGTGTTATTCTATTTCCTAATGCAGCAAACATAGTCTATTTGCAATGCAACTCCACTTAAAAAAATCTGTCATTTCTCCTCTTCAGATCACTAACTGGTAGATGGCATCACTAACCAAGCTGTGATGTGGCATGCTCTTCCTCCTTGCCATTCACCTCCTGACACAGTGAAGACATGGTTTAGGTACATCATGTTCCTGGTGGCTGGTGAGCTGGAAAGCAACAGTGTTATTTTAAAACCCATGTGTCGCTTTTCTTTTAACATCTGAGTTTCCACAGGTTCTTATCTACAGATGGCTGTGAAATTTACAGACATTCAATGGACTCCACAGTCAAATAAATATAATGTTAAAATAATTAATAATTATCTAGACTTGGGCCAGATAATCCAGTGTTCCATTCTCTGTTGGTCTTTGTTAAAGGCAAGGAGTATTTTGTTCAATTCCTGTGCACTTGATTTCTTTCTGAGATCGTTTCTAACAGTTCTATATAGGTCTTTTGTGGAGCGGCTGGGGAAGTAAAACATCTAAACATCAGCTTCTCAGAATCCCATAAAAAAACTGACTGAGCTAAACTGTCCAAGTAGAGAGGCCTATCAATGAGAATTTCTACCTAAGGAGATCACTAAATAAGTAGTCTGTGACATTCCTTATCTGCATAAGCACTTAACCTCATTACAGGTGACTATTCCAAAATAAATTAAAAGTGTTAAGAAACATATGGGAAGAGAGCTACAGGGTATTTGTCTCCACTTGAAATGGAAATATAAAATAAATAAAACAAAGCCACCCCCAAATAAAACAAAACTCAAAAAGCTTTTCCTTAATTGGCACACAACCATTAATTTTAATTAGATCACAAGCCCCCACCTCCATTTACCACCCAGCAGTTGAAGGGTTAATGGAATTAGGGAGGGCTACCAGGACAGCTGATGAGTGATTCTTGCATGAATAATAATTCCTGAGTGGGAGTGAGATGTGCCACCTCCCTCCCCATCTCAAGGTACTTCAGGCTCAACTGAATATAAAAATTAGACAGTGTTCTTTCTGCTTCATACATCACCCAGCAGAACACAGCTGGCTATTTGGCTCCAGGGCAAACACATTTGAATAGACAAAAATACAGGCTATGTTAGGGTAGCTTGACTGAATTGCCCTTCAACCTGGATTTTTTTCTTATTCAATTATTTATTCATTCATTTATTTATTTGACAAGATAGGAGGCCATTGAAACTTTCCCCAAATCCCAGAACACCCCTTCTTTTAACAAGGTGCATTTCTCCCCTAAAATCTTATTTTTTTCATTGATCAATAAGATCACTATCAGCATCATCTTCACCACTATGAATTCCAAAGTGACAAAGGAGCTTCTGAGGCTTTGAATTTAAGAAGGCTTAAAATCAAAGTGGTATCAATATGCATTGAGGCATATTCAATGCATTTCCTTGTTCTCCTCTTCCAACATTTGGGAATTAGCGTGGCTTTACAGGTTTATGTCTCTCGTAAGGTTATAATCTCTTGTAAGGTTTATGAAAATTGTCCCCTATAATAATCACCTGCACCTCTTCAGGTTGTGGAGAGTTGCCTTGATCATTTAAGTACAGCTTGGTCTGCCACCAACTTGAAGATTTTACTCACTGATCATTATTCATAAAATAAACAACAGAGTTTTCAGAGGAAAGAAAATGTGAATGCTAGAAGATAAAAAATCAGAAGTGGAGTTATAGACGAGAAGAAAGATGGGCCTTTGGAACTGGATCTCGGTGTCCTTGCCTTTTCTTTTCTCTAATCAGAATGAATAAAGAAATAAATCTTCTACTTTATTGAATCACAACAACACAGGCCAATAGAAAATAAAATAATTTACCAACCCTGCTCCCAGGACTTTCTAGAAGAAAACACTAATGGATTGGCCTTGCAGACTTAACTAGAGTCATATTAAAGAGATGAAAGAAATAACAGGGAGACAGTCCCTACTAAAACAATAACAAAATTATTTTCCCCAACTGTGATCAAGTTGTTCCAATCTCATGAAAAAAAATGTGTTTGATAACAACATATGATACTCCAGAGCATGTGAACGGTTGCTAAAAAACATAAGAAAAGAACTCGTGGGATTCTTCCCATGAAGAGAAGAATGTTATTAGAACTGCATAATTAGATTTAGATATATATTAAGATTATAATTTTTAACTTTGAGGTCAAAATTTTTCCTTTTTAAAAATAATCTATCCATAGTTTGTACACCCCACATGAGGTCTCTATACTTTGAATGTTGCCTTATATTAGAAGAGTTTATTTCCTTTTTTGCTTTGGAGATATATATGTGTGTGTGTTTACACTTTAATGAATACTTTCTGTGCATAAAAAATGACATTATCTTTGCAAAAAGCAATACAGTTTTAATAAAATTACCCATATAATGAAATCCACTTTTATTTTCTCTCCCCTCCCTACTTTTTAACTTTTATCGTTAAATAAAAGAGCTTTGACACTTCAAAATAAAGAAGGAAGATCTTTTATGGCAATGGGTATTCTGATTGCATAATTATTTAACTCTTTTTGTCCTGAAAGTTGATCTAAAAGCCTAAAATCTGTTATTGTGACCATGAATGGTGTGTAGGGTTTGGGCCAGAGAATATGTGACAATTGGAAACAAGAGTATAAGTCTGCATAAGTTTATAAGTTAGCCCTGGACAGTAAAGATATTTAACTAAATGGGAAAAATTGTCTGGTGCTAGCAGAGTAGAGGTTTTAAGTATGAAAGGTGGCCAAGAGAATAGATCCAAGAAAATGGAGGGGAAGTTTGTGGACTCCTAAAAAGAAGATAACTTTTGTGTGATTGGAGGATATGAATCTATTCAGTGATTGGTATTGAAAATAGAAGGCAATAGTGCTCGTTTTGGCAGCACATATAATAAAATCGGAACAATATAGAGAAGATTAGCATGGTACCTGAACAAGGATGACACGCAAATTCATGACGCATTCCATATTTTTTGCACTTTTCGTCATTTATTAATGCATCATATTTTTGTGAAGAGGCTAAAAACAAAACTAACCAAATGAAAAAATCAAATTAAATGACTTATGAGTAGCAAGGGAAAATAAATCTGTAGAGGAAGATAAAATGTTGAACTCTGCCTCACTAGTTTGAATAGAATTTTTTTGAAGTGGGGAGGTAGTAATGTACACTTTCTTTTCATTTTAATTATGTATATAAATTTTAAATAATATTATGGATAAGGAAAAAAACTCAAAAGTATTTTAATTTCTGAATAATTACGGTCTGGGAATATCAATCTACCAAAAGTGCCTCTGATGGGTGCTCATGAACTGAAAAGAGCAATCTATAAATAATAATAATATTAATTTTTGTCAATTAGCATGAAGGAAGAAACAGCAGTTATCTCTTTTCTATACACACACACACACACACACACACACACGCATACACACACATACATACATACACAGTCAAGAAGTTGTCTAGATATTCAGACATGGTTATTGATAGCTCAGATCCAGATCCAGCCAGCTTCTGGAAAATCAGGAATGAACATCTCTGGGATCTCTCGTGGATGGATGTGGGTTCCCTTCTACAAGATGCCCTTGCATTGTCCAAAAAAGAAGTCTTTAAGGTCAGTCAGGGAAAAGGACCTGTCATTGCATCACTGATATCGTGTTCATACAATTAAATTTACTTCTTAAAATAATTCATCTCAACTCTTTTATGGAAGCACATGTTTTGAACATCATGTCCTAGACTGCCCAGTTACACTGAACTTGTCAACTATTGCAATAGACCAATTTTCCCAAACATGATTTTGCATTACCCCAAAGTTCCAGCATGGCTTACTTAAGTCTGTCTACAATGTGACTTCAAGGATGAAGCTATCTGGTCAAGTTAGCCCACATCCATGCTTCTTTAAAGGTGACACAGTAGTCTAGCACATGTAGGGATATATCTTTCTCAGTCACTAAATATTAAAAATAGAATAATTCTTTGGAAATAATCTAGACAATTCTGGCATATTGCTTTTAAACCCAGGTGAGTGATATAACATTAAAACGAGGTTGGCAAATGTAGAATCTATATACAGATGAATCCTTGAGAAGTCAATCTACCGTAGAGCTTCTTAATAGGGAAAAAAACAAACACGATGCTTTCGAAAATGCACATGCTTCAGCTCATTCCATTCTAATATTCTTTCTTCAGAACCACATGTTCCCAAGAAGAAAAATCCCCATGAATTTTGTCAGTTGGAATCTCAAATTCTTCTCATTAAGAAGGAGTCAAGGAACCACGAAGCCCAGGCCTTTGGGATAATCAGTGCCATGAGGTTCTAGTAAGGATTCGTTTTTATCAACATTCACAGGCACTCTACAGAGCTCTCTATAACCCCTGGCCCTTTGCTTTTACTATTCCCTTACTGCCAATGCCTGCCTTGCCTTTGTCACCCTTCATCAGCTGCCTGACCTCTCCATTCCACTCTACTCTCTCCATTTTCCTAAATCTAACCCTCCTTTGAGACGAGGCTCACAGACCACCCTCTCACTAACTCTCCAGGTCTGAGTTAAAAGCTTCATATTCATGTACCCTGAGTTTCTCTCTATGCATGTTAACACCTCCTATAATTGATTTGTTTATTTACTTGCTTATGTTCTCATTATATTTTGAGTTTTAGAAGGTCAGGGAGCATATTTCATTTGTCTTTGAAATCCTTAATAGGGTTCAGTGCAAAATAAATATCTGCTAAGTATTTGTTGAAATAAACTAAGCTGAAATTCCTAAACAGGTTTTTTAAATTTATTCAAAATGACAATTTCAAAAGACACAGACGAAGGAGAGAGGGGAGAGGGATCAACTTTATTTAATGATCTTCATAAGTAATGTCATCTAGAGAATATCATAACTATGAGGTACAAATTATTGTTAAAGCTATACTTAAACATGGAATATAGCTGACTACCAAACAGAATATTCAGGTGAACATTAAAGGGAGTTTAGAAATACTGGTGAATTTGAAATTTTGCCTTTGGATACATTCAATTTAGCATGAAATTTATTGTTTAGACAGGTGCACTTTTTTCTCTCTCTTTCATCACCAAAGCCACAACGTAAGGTGTGGGAAGATTTCTAGAGTCTCTATGATCCTCTGTCTTTCCATACTCTTTCTAGCTATGTTAAGTCTGAATGACATGGCTTATCCCATTCTGTGCATTTTTTAGGAAGATGTATTGAGTCTACAAGATGAAAAAAGAGAAAAACATAAAATATCTGATATTCACTGACTGACTGCTGTGTGCTAGAAATTCCTGAAGAATTCTTTATACGTTAACAAATATAATCCTCACAACTGTTTGTTCAAGATCAATAGTTGCACCACCAGATGAGGAAACAGAATCTCACTGAAGTGAAGTCATTCTTCTAAAACTACACAGCAAGTGAAGAGAAGAGACAGAATTGGGATTGAGGGTTGCCTGATCCCACAATCCATGTGTGATCCCTATAGCCCACGGACAGCAATCCTGTCTGTAGACTGGTTCATGAAGAGTAAGATCCACCACAGAGGGCTGATACAGAGTCCCCTGCTATTGAGATGACACACAATAGAAATAATTAGCTACACACACAAAAGGGGTTGTATACTATAGTGGACATTTACTTAATCTGGGGAGATAAACCTAAGAAATTATATGTAAAAATTCATTCATTCGATAAAATATTTATGTACTTGTATTCATGCTAGGAGATCAATTCTTCTTGTATGAGTCTAGTCAGCTTAGTCAATCTGCTGTTTCAAGTCCTTCTAAAATTAAGAACATTTTCTTCTGTCATCTATGTAACTATCACTCTTCCTCTCTCTGGAACTCCTATTGATTGCATTTTAGTCCTGAATCTACCCTCTCAGCCTCTCATTTTTTCCTCTTGGTTTCTATATCCTTGCCTGTTTGTGGGGGTAAGCTATTTCTTCTATTGATGTTCTATCCACCACTTCTGTTTTCAACAGGGTCTATCTTCTTTTTCAAATCATCTCTTGAATTTTTTTTTCAGTTATAATGAACATTTAGTGTTATATTAGTTTTAGGGGTACAGCACAGTGGTTAGACATTCATATAACTTACAAAGTGATCCCTCTGATAAGTCTAATACCTACCTGGCACCATACACAGGAATTATAATGGTATCGATTATATTCTCTATGGTGTACTTTACAACCCTATTAAATCAAAAACACTGATTTGAAAAGATATATACATCCCTATGTTTATTGTATCATTATTTGCAATAGCTGAGACATGGAAGCAACCTAAATATCCATCAACAGATGATTAGATAAAGAAGGTGGGGTACAAATATACAATAGAATATTACTCAGCCTTAAAAAAGAATAAAATCTTACCATTTGCAACAACATGGATGAACCTGGAAGGTATTACACTAAGTGAAATAAGACAGACACAGACAAACCATCTATTGGATTTTTAAAGTCATGGACCAGGTTTCCGAATTTCAAAACAGAAGTCCTTTATCATGTTCCAATGTTATTTACTTGAGAGTTCTAGTATTTTTTATGAAACACCTCAATTGACATTTTCGTTGTCTGTACTTTAATGGGGGCTGCTTGTTGCAGGCAGATAGATCTTCCCCTCTCAGGTAGCTAGTACCCCTGAGTTGTAATTTGTCTTTGCCTCATAATGGAATATGAGCCTGGGCAGTCTAGCTAAACCTTAAGATCTTTGAAACAATGGAAAACCAGAAAATGAAGAAAGAAAATGCAGTCTCTGTCATTATGAACCATCAGAGAACAATTTGGCAAACAGTTCACCCTCTGCTGAGACTTTCTGCTCCTGGACCTCCTAGGAATGTATGGTGGTTCTCTCCTAATCTCAGGGACTGAGAATAATTCAGTAATTGCCCCCTTCGTGCCCTCCAGGGTCAGATGGAACAGGCAAGCATTCCCAGGAAAAGTGGCTGATGTAACATTTGCTGAAGGGAATTGTGTCAGCTGACTACTCTGGCAGGTGCAGAATTCTGGACTTCTTCCCAATCCCTAGGAACAAACAAGATCTACTCTTTGCAAGTGGTACTCTGGCTTCTTCCCACAGAGAACCAATTCCTGGACCTGCTCTTTCCTTAGAACTGAAACCTTAGATCCCTCCAGTGTCTACCAGCCTGCCGCTCCTAGTTGATGCTTCATGCAGAGGAAGATAGAAGGTAAGGAGTATCAAGGCCACATGCCTTGGTTGTTCTCTTCCCAGAATTTCCTCAGGACTTATGTACTGAACACCCACTATGAGCTGCCAGTGAGACATCTTGAGATGGAACCATCAGAGACATGCATAGCTTGATCATGGAACATAATATTTAATATTTGTTTGTTTAAAAAGTTTTGAAATTATAGTTAAAAGAACTGAATGGCCCTAGATGATCTCTGAAGATTAATAACAGGAGGAACAAAGCTACAAATATTTTTACTTTGTGATGCATGAAGACTTCAGTAATATGCAAAATTTGATTGACATTGCATATTTAAGGGGTGCAACATAACTATCTGAAGACTTTTTAGTTTGACTTTTTCTGCTTAGTGGGGTGTCAGAACTAAGAAAGCAAATTCACTAGTATCTCATATATTTCCAAGAGAAGTCATGATGTAGGTATTAACATTCCCATAGCCCTGATGAGTCCACAGTTCAGGTTAGGTTAAATGACCTGCCAAATGAATGAATGAATGAATGAATGAACGAACGAACGAATAAATAAATAAATAAATAAATAAATAAATAGTGGAATCTGAATCTTCTTATGCTAAAAGCCAGCTCCAACATACCATAAAGGTTCTTACAATAGGGTCTCCAATAACATTAAATAATGACAACATGGCATAATGCTAGCTTTAATTTCCTAAAGCAATTGTTCAATTTCTATTGTAAAAATTTGATAAACATACTTTAGCAAAGTACACATAAACTTTCTAGTTCAGAGTAGGTTTAGA